TGGGTCCAGTCTCACCTCGGGGGTGGGGTGGGGGATGATGTTCCACAGGGCAGGTACCATGGCAAAAAAGAGCCATCTCCTGGATCCCACCAGGTGTAACTCTTTGGCAGACGGGACCTGCAACATACTTCTGCCGGACCTGATGGGATGGGCAATTGTTATTGGGAAGAGCCAGTCCCTCAAATAACCCAGCCCCATGCCATGAAGGGGTTTAAAGGTTTTCATGTTAAGAAATAGATTTTAATGTTCAGAGAAATTCTGCAGTGAAACTATTCCCCAAAAGTGGTGGACTTCTCTTCATTGAATGTGTTCTAGTGGACCCTAAGGAGCCGTCTCTTGATATTGCTTTGATATGGAATGTTGCACTAAGCAGGCAGTTGGATTCTGTGGTCTAAATCGGCATTTCTCAACCTTGGCCATTTTAAAAAGCGTGGACTTCAACTCCCAGAATTCCAAGCCAGCATGGGAAATTGAAATCTGTACATTGTAACTGTACAATTCTATTGTACAAGCTGTCTGCAGCATATTGATGGCCTGCAAGACCAAGAGGCTAAATACCAGCAAAATATTTTTCCTAAGGAGATGAGGAAATTAATGCAGTCTGAAGGCCAAACTGGCTACAGGCAAGAGCATTAGAAGTAGCTGCCAGCAGTGGGCAGGGTCACAGCTGAAAGTGAGTGGAATCCCAGCCAAATTGTGCAAGACCCTAACATAGTTGCCTGGAGACACACTCACAAACATATGTAAACAAAGTCTCTTTCACACACTACAATGAATGATGAGGGTTGCTCCTAACTCTAACCCTTATATAATTACCTTTAAAAGATAACATTTAGTTCAAGTATTTTAAAAGGAGCTACATTTTGATCAGTTAACATTGGATGAACATGACATTTCACATCAGCCTGTAATAGTTATAATTGTCTGTTGACTCTACCATAATGATAAAGTCTTTTAACATCTCACTTATTCTTGCTTGCAGAATGTGACCTCCTTCAGTCAGTCTAATGAATAATAGGCTACCATTTGGGGTTTTAGCAAGTTCAGCACCATCCATCTTCATTTTTCTTCATTGACTTCCCACCGTCTTTTTGAAGCTTTAGATATTTATATGAATTACTGCATTTATCACTTGGGGATCATTCTTTTTCTTTGTTCACACATCTTCTCAAATTATTAATAGAGATCCTTTGACATCATTTATTTTAATCTTAGAAATGTACCTGACTGCTATTATACAGGGATGCATCTATGAAAACCCTTCCATATGTGAGAGTGGAAGAAGACAAAAAATAGGATCAGAAGTTCAAAATTCAGCTTTCCTAAGACACCAGTTTTCTTTGTTACTTAAAGAGACTCTTAACAGATCATTGTTTAAAAGATACCTGTGAAACACATATAAAAAGCAACAGGGGAAGGAAGGAAGTTATGATAATTGGACAAAGCTTTTCCACTTTTTCTGTCCTTATGTCAGAAAAATTGTTAGTTAAGCTTAATTTTTGATAATGTGCTTGAGTTGGATAAAATAAGCTTATACAATCTATAGTGTTTTGTTAAATATACACTTGTAGAAATAGACATATGTACACTCTGATATCCGTTTTTGTAAAGATCAAAGTAGTCAAGATAGTTTTAACAGTTGCCTTCCCTATTTTTAAATTATATGTAGAAATTACAGTACATTCTGATGAATCATTTATCACTCTTGGGCCAAAGATTATTTTAGAAATAAAATTGTTTTTCCTTTTTTACCTGCCTAATCCTGACTTCCTCCCAAAACACCAGAGAAACAAATTTCTGTTGTGGAAACTCAATGGGCCATTGTAGGAATCTTCTCTTCCTAAACATTGAATTCTATTATACTCAAAATAGGGCAGTTAGCCTTCCATGCACACTGACCATTATCTCTGGGCTACTGGAATGGGGGATTTTTCTACCCACTTTGCTCCCTCTCTCCACATCCCATTCTCATATAAATGGGCTATACAAGGATTGTTACTTAGATTGAGATCATGGTATAATTGGGGCAAAGAACAATTCCATTCTGTCCACTTACCAGGACAGTCTGTCCTGCTTTTTTATAGGACAGCTGAGATGTTCAGCACTTCAATTGTTAAGGACCAGTTTATTCAAATGAAAAAGCAGGTTAGCAAGTTTTTTCTACATACACTTGAGTAACTGTTTCCTGGTTCATTTTCACAGAATATTTTTGACAAATGATCCGCTTCTTCAATTAATGACTTTTCTGCCCTTTAAAACAAACAACTTTGTTATCTTAGCCTACAACCAAGAAGCATTCCGCTACTTTCACCACTGTAATTTAGGCCACTCCTAGGGAAATTCTTCTCTAGAAAATCAGAGTCACATTTTAAGCATCCTAAATTCCAGTTTCTAAAATCATATTATAAGTAATTCTTTAAAAGGAAGCTTCTGCTTCCAGGTTTAAGCAATTTGTTTCTAAAACTGGACTGCACATTACAACTGTGTTGATATATGTAGTGATCTGAAAGCCAAACTAGGCTACAACTGGACAATCATAGATGTTAATGAACCTTTTATGCTAACATAAAAAAGTCAATGTCCATCCTTTTTTAAGTATTTTTAAAAACTGTAGGTACCTTGGAGATTGCTAGCGTATTTGGGTCTTACTGTTTAATTAATATGTATGCTTCTACTGGATATATTTCCAAGGAGTATTAAAGATAAATCATATTCAATATTCAACCTCTCGTTTTTAAAGCAACCATTATAAATTGATCTAAAATGTTCATCCCTTGTTTAGCCCAAGCATTCCAGTAAAACAACTTCCCTATTTTCAAATTTGGCTTATTCCTCAGCATCAATTTTTAATTTTGTTCTGTATGAAAAATTTAATTACTAACCTATGAACAACCAAATGTCCCTGGTAGCTTTCAACCTGGAAATGAACATCCCTGTTTAGTATACTTTGACCCTACATCTCGCTAAGATTTCAGGGGTGTTACACACGTGCTCTCCAAATGGGCCTAAGGGGGGGGGGCATACAACTCTCATTCTCCCCCTCCCCCCAAATGTTAAAATAAAACTCAATCATATAGTTGAAAATCTGGTAGGTTGAAGCATTATTATCACAAGGTAAGCTCAATTTGGCCAAGGATATTTGAAAGGCTTTAGCCTGCCGTAAGAATTTTCTTATTAACTTATCAGTATAAAGTATCTAATAGGACTTAATGTTTAAATCTATCTTAGAATTCTGGTAGTATTCATTCTGATAACATTAACCTTGCCCCAAAGACTTAATTGGACTTTTAACCATCAAGTTATATTTACTGAAATTGCATTTATACATATTTAATTTAGCATATTGTGATATATTTCAAAAAAGATATAAACCGAAGTATTTTATGCAGCCTGTACAAATGGTAAATCCTAATCTGTTACAGTAATTCATAGATATAGAAGTTCCCAAAGGCAGCAAATTAGCCTTGTTCCAGTTAATAGTATAACCAGAGTATTAACAATATTGCTATATGACTTCAATAAGCTTTGGTAATGACATTGCATAATCACCAAGGATAATATCATCAGCATGTATGAACAATTTATATTCATTGTTAAATACCACTATACCCTCAGTATCTTGAAAATATCTAACAGAAGCAGCTAGTAGTTCAGGAAACAAATTGAAAATGAAAGGAGTCAAAGAGTATCCTTACAAATGCAATATAAATTGGAAGTTTGAAAAACAATTCCATTAATAACTCTAGCCATTGGGTAAAGATACCCAACTGTAATCCCATGAACAAAAAAATGATGGAATCCTCTATCTTCAATTTGACATGAACCGTATCAAAGTCCTTCCTTTTCAGTATCCAACAAAATTAGAACAGCTAATTTCATCAGCTACAATATCCATAATATCAATCACCAGGTGGATGTTGTCAGGTGCTTGTCTATTTTTTTTTTTTTTTTTATAAATCCAGATTGAGATGGATGAATTATAAATATTACCTTATGTAGCCTCCTGGCTAGTGTTGCAGGAAATATTTTAGCATTCGCATTAAGCAAAGGTATTAGACTATAGTTTGCACATCTTGTAGGAGTATAAAATGATAAATGGAGAATAAAAAAATGATTACAGATCTCCAACTCTGTTAAGTCACAATAAGTCTGTATTCATTTGGAAGTCCATCTGGTTCGGGGGCTTTCCCCACCTTCAGAGATTGCAGAATTTCTGTGATTTCTTATAATGACAATGGCTGTACCAATTTAATTTCATCTTCCTGAGAAATCTCTTCCATTTCAATACTTCTCAGGAAATTGATAATTTGTTTTTCAGTTACAGGAATCCCTAGTTGATGTAAGTGAAAGCAAACACCATACAACTAACCGATTCTGTTTTGATAAATAACTCTACCATTAGTCTGGATGGCAGTTTCTTAGTTTTGTTGTTTCAAGCCATAAGCCAGTAACTTTCTAGCTTTCTCCTATGATTCCCAGTATTTTTTGTTAGTAAATTTCAAACAGTATTCAAATTGTTCTGAGTGTAGTAGCTCCAGTACATGCTTTGCTGCTATAAATGCTGCTATAAATGCTTGATATGATGTGTCTGTTGGGTTCTAGCAAATAACAAAAGTGAATCTTTAACAATCCAACTGTATTAAGATTAGAACTTTTTGCTGAGGCGACAGCAATAATTGATCCCGACGTACAGTATGCCTTAAATGTACTCCAGAGAGTTAATGGATTAGTAGAGGTCCAATTTATTTTTTAAAAAATCCTTAATATATTTTATATAAAGAGAACTCTTAGAAGAAATATATTCAAATACCATGTAGAATTGGCTGATTTATAAGTTATATTTCATAGTCAGACTCCCTGGAGCTTTGTTTGAGATTGCAACGGGCCTACTGAAGAGTCCGTAACTTGATACAGTAAAGTAGACTTAAAAAAATTCATTTAATTTGAAATAATGTTGAAGTACATGTGAAAAAGTATATTTTGTATTTAAAAAAACCCAAATATCTATTAAATTAAATTCTAATATATATGCTTTTGTAATGCCTTCCAATTTTTAGGAACAGTTAAGTTTTTTTAAAAAATGCCTCTAATTTCCACAAGAGATTGTCAAGAAGTATAACATGTTTACTATGCTAGTGATACTTCTTTAATTTTATATTTTTTAGCAAAGCATTATCAAGAGTATTGATAAGGCAGTATTTTCTTATGTGAAGGAACTGAATCAAGAGGCCTCAAAGTATTTTTTTAGTTAGACTGCTGCTCTATCAACATATTTTGAAGGAAAAGTCACAAGTATAGAATTTTTTTCTTGGGTACATTAGCTTGGAAGATCAGGGAGTAGTAGGGAAAAGATGCTGTCATAAAATATCTTGGTTTTTTTATTTTAGGGGAATCCTTGTAATACTCCCAATATTTTACTGATGTAAAAACACTAAATTTGCATTTAAATTGTAAAAACTTAAAGTGGATATTCATTCAATATTAAGCTGTATTAACAGTTTAAGTAACTGCATTTCAGGCTTTGCCTTTTACTTATAGTATAGTATACTACTTAATGTTGTCACTCCATCTGCTAGTATGCTTTGGGGATGAATGAGAGATAATTCTGATATATCTCTTTTCAGCTAAACAAGTAAGATTCTGTAAATATTTGGAACTGAATAAATGAATAGTTCTTTGAATGGTCTGAATGGTTTATAGGATTTTACCAGATCCAAATATTAATAAGTAAATTGCAGGAAAAATGTACCTCTTTTATGACATGGTAAATAAGATCAGTTAATATACATCAGTGTGCATATACAATAGCATTTTTGAGAAAGGGTAGTGAACTGTTTCATACAAAGCTGGAGTTTCAAGATGCAGCACAATGTGAAAACATGTGAAATATACATTCATTCCAAACAAAAATAAAGTTTACTTTATTAGAATGTTTTAATATCTAAAGCAGCTCCAGTGCTTTTCACTTTAATTTCAAATTGCATTGGAAACATTAATGTTTTGCATTACAATGTTTATTTATTTATAATAATCAAGAAAATAAATGCCAAGAGAGATTCTATCCAACAATTTTAAACACAAAAATTGCATGTGAGGAAACATTCTCATACCACATTACTGATGACTGCAATAATTGTAGATGACTAGATATTTATCATAAGCCAGTGATAAACATAAATGAATATTAACAGCTTCAAACAAGGATCATTTTTTTGCCAATACTTCTTACAATTTCACTAGTGCAAGACCATATTTTTACCTGATTGAACTTGAAACAAAGAATGCTCAATACAAAACTATTCTTTCTCCCCATTTTAAAAAAGTGCCTCATACCATACTTACACTAAAATATTTACAAGCTAGTGGAAGACTGTCTGTCTCCATCTCTTGTCAGTGAGGAAAGGCCAAAGTGATTCCTTGATCCCAACTTGAAATGGAGTATGCTGACCAATGCCCAACATCAGAAGACGGGAACAGTCAAGCTGAGCATTCTTGGGACGAGGAGCACCCAGGACTGGGCTATCTGTAATCTTTAATTTCAAAGACCAATATACTTATCTTCAGAATAAAAATATTGACATGCATTTATTTCTAAGGATCCTTTCTCTCCTAGCCCAAAACCACTTTTTCTCTCTCATATTACTTAGCAAGGAATCCTGAAATCTGCTAGTAGTGCAAAAATAGAATCAGAGGTTATCTGCCAAAACACTTCTGCCTATGAATTCAGAGATACAGACAGACAGACACTGAAGTCATTTGTCTCTCCTGAGAAGATACTTCTAAAGATAGTCTTTGCTTGTAAATCAAGCAAAAGTTATTACCTTACATTTTCCCTTTACTAGGATACTAGAGGCTGACAGAAGAGGGATAGATGAATTCATTTCTAGACTTGATACACTTTAAGACTTTAAAGTATTCCTTCTCTAATTTGTCAGGCCCTCAGTCAGCTGCATGGAATTCCTTGTGTTTACATAAAAGGCTGGGATAAAAAGGCCATGCAAATAGCCACTTATTAAAATGTGAGAAACTACAATCAGAAAGTAATTTTTCATCCTTTCCATATAGCATCTTAACTGCAGCTGAAATTTCTGGGCTACATTGTTATAAGGTTATCACTTAAACTGCAGAGGTAAAAACACACGTTTCCCAAACAGTCAGATAAATGGATTATCAATTTCAAAGTTTTCATCAGAAAAAGAGCAATTGTTCCTTAAGGATAACATTTCATAGCACAATATAAAATAAATGTTGAATGTTTATCAACTACAAGTTAGCTTTTCTCATTCTGATTAATTACTTACTGGTCTCAAGTGGCTACTAGGAAGATTGAAAGCATCAGCCATGGCACATGCCATTTCAAACTTGGTCATCTGCTCATTACCAGACCAGTGAAATGTTCCCTTAATGGATGGATCCTTGGAAAAGCAACAAACATAAACAATTTAAATTCATTTTAATTTTCCTATGCTAAACAGTTCCAGGAAGGAAAAAAAAAATCCAAGCTTTACTGGAGGCCATTCTTTTTAGACTATAGGTAGTCCTCGACTTACAACCAAAATCAGGACTGGAACTTCTGTCACTATAAAATATGGTCATTAAATGAGTTGTGCCTGATTTTATGACCTTTTTGCCATGGTCGTTAAGCAAATCACTATGGCCGTTAAGTGAATCATGCAGTCTAAGCAAATCTGGCTTCCCCCATTGACTTTGCTTGTTGGAAGCCGGCTGAGAAGGTCGCAGGTGATCATGTGATCTAGGATGGTGCAACTGTCGTAAATACATGCCAGTTGCGAAGCACCTGAATTTTGAACATGTGACCGCAGGGACACTGCAATAGTTATGAGTGTGAGGACTGGTTGTAAGTCACTTTTTTCAGTGCCGTCATAACTCTGGTTGTTAAACAAGAAGTCATAAGTCGAGGACTATCTGTAATATGAGAAGCAACATTTAACTCAATGAACTTTTTTTTGCATTATCTCAACAGATTTTTGTTTCTGCTACAGAATATAATAGTTACTATACACAAATTCAACTCAGCTATATGGTACTTTGTACACAATAGTGTTACTAGAAAATACTCAATATCCTGATCTTGTCCAAAAGAGTAGTTGTGGCTGTTTTACAACCATTTTTGTTGCAAATATAATCTAGCAATCCAAGATGCATTATCATGATGCAGGATTTTTTTTAAAAAAAAAATCTCAGTGAACTCTCTGAATATTAAAAACTTAGCCTTGTATAAAATTATCTAATGCTTTAAGTGTTAAATGATACAGGTCCTGCACACAGGGCATTGAGACTGACAGTAGGAGGCATCATAAATATAATGGACATCTGAAAAATGGGTATACCTTTAATCACAGCTTCATAGCTTTTTTTTTTTTTTTAATGTTCACTGATTTTCAAAGCTGGCAGGGAAATATAGAATGTACAGATTTACATGAGGAAGGAGGAATTGACAGTTGCCCTTTTTGATGGAGATCCCTTTTGTTTTTAAATTTTGAAACAGCTGCTTTTTCAGAGAAGCAGAACATGTCTCTACATCTATTTCATGTCCTTCCAACATTATTTTTATGCCACCATATGATTCCTGTTTCCCTATTATCTTAACCCTAAGAATAACTATACTATCGTATAATATTATAATATATATTGTAACCACTTACTTTTGTACAAATATTCTGCATGTTTTAATCAGAACTTTATTATGCTTCTCATGTTACAATATAATCAGATACATGTTAAATGTTTTAGGAAGTCTGCATGAATTTTTGAAACCTCAAATACGTCACAAAAAACACACATTATTTATACACATTTTACATGTGAAGCAGTCCTTAAAACCTTGATTTAGGTGCATTTAATACACTTAGGAAAGCTCTTACCACCATTCTCCTCTCAGCTAGCTGTTGGCAAACAATGGCTACATCCTTGACATAGGTAGGAAACCTCTGCTGCCAATGATCCATATTGGCTGATTTGTTATTGAATTGCACTTTATCAAACATAACTGTCACAGCACTCTCCTCCAACTTTTCAACTTCTCCATATAAAATAGGAATTCTAAGCACAGCAGCACCTAAGAGAAAAGAAAGATAAGCCATAAATATTGCACGAAATCAACTAAGCATATCCATGCAATTGCCCAGCTTGCTGCAAACTTCACACCAATAGAAAAAATGGAAAAGGGACAGGTTTAACTGGGACAAGCCAAATTATTTTACATATGGTGTGTGAACCAAAAAAAAAAAAAAGGCTGTAAACTGGAAACTGCTTCAAAACTGCTTGTAGCAATGTTTCCTAGAGTAACTTCAACTGTCAATACTAAGTCCAGGTAGCTTTGTTTCTAATGATAACTCTGTCAATAAAATCTTTCATAGTACAGTATTCTCACTGTACTAACATCTGGGAAACTACCAACATGAGCTTGCAAATTCAACTGGCTCTGAAATACCAACAAGAGACATCATTTAAAAACTCAAAATATGAAGTTGTTTTTGCTGCCACTCCTTATTATCTTTCCTCTTTCCATTTCTATTATCTATGTAATGAACCACCTATTCAGAAATATGCTCTCTTTAATTTCCACCTAGCCATAATCCACTTGTTCACGTAGCATTCCACCATTCCTTAAATCTTTCCCTTAACAACATAGGAAACAGCTTGTTATGTAAGCACATCCAACCCAGCATTATTTACAATGAAAGTCAATCACTGAAAAGTAAGCAAACAAGCATTTTATAATTGCATAGAGATGCTTTTATGGCCGATGGTTTAACTACATCTGTTTACCACAGCTTGGTTGGCTAAATAGATCAAATTTATATTTTGAAGAGGCAAAATATTTTCATAAAGCCTATGACTGATCATTTATAAACCAGCATCCTGCTTGTCACTGTAACCACCTTTCTGTTCAAGCACTGAAACAAAAGACATAATCTTACAGATAGTAGATTAAATATTAAACCATTTTAATTTACCCTTTCTTTGAGAGGTCTACAATGCAATGTTAGTTTATTTATGTATTGTAAGAGTCATAAATCTCTTCACTGCAAAAGCTCTGGGCAGTATGCAAAAGTAATAATACAAAACAATACAATAACAGAATATAATAGAATACAAAATAAAACCACAATGTAGTAACAATAACAACATTCCCACATTTGGCAAAGGTCTCCTAATCTTTCAAGCCCTCCAGAAAAGTCAGCCATAAGAACGGGGGCCACTCTTCACTCAGAGGGTTACCTGTTTCAAAGGAGGGGAGCTCCACAGAGAAGGCCTGCCTCCATGCTCTCTCCTATTGTACCTCCTGATAGAAGGGGGCCAGAGTTCACATGGGACAGGCAGATCTTCCCTTCCCTACAGCATACTGGCCTCACTTCCTCTATATTCTCTTTCTAGCAAGCTCAAAGACACACATTTGTGTTTGACAAGGAAAATAGAGTGCATGAGTGTAAATTAAATATAAACACTGAAAAACTAAGAAAAAATGGATGAATCTGTGTCCCTTGTGTACCATTTACTAAAGATGAAAATGGAGAAATTTTAAGACTTGCAAGTCCTGGTAGAAATGCAGCAGAATGCAGTCTTTTGGGAGGAAATGTTTGTCAAAAGAAGTGAAAATGACTCTAATAATGTTCTTCTGCTCATATCATTATATGGAATTAAGCATTGGGTATGTCAAGAGAAACGTAAAAGTTAAAAATAGTGAAAATGAGGTACTTAAGCATGTGTGATAAAACAAAAAGAGCTAAAGAGCTGCTGAACAGCAATATATACAATTAAAATATGTTAACACAATATGGCCTGGATGCCTTAGCAGCTCCAGAGACGCATAAAATAGTAGAATGTTTAAGAAATGCCTTGTCTGAAGTAAAACCAACAATTCAATTTTATGTGAGACAAAAAACCATGATGGTTAATAATGGTAGTATATATAATTTGTGGAATAAGCAACTGGATTTTCTGATCTTGGAAAACTAATGGGCCAAGTTTTAAGAAATGCTAATATAGATAGTCCTCACTTAACACCACTAATTGGGACTGGAACTTCTGTCACTAAACAATACAGCATAAAGCACATGATCATGCGACTATGTCACTTAGTGACAGCAGTTCTGGCAGTCCCTGCTTATTGTCATTAAGCAAATCATTGTGGGTCGTTAAGTGAGGACCTCATGTGATTGCGACTTTCGACTTCCTGCTAGCTTCCCCATTGACTTCACTTGTGGGAAGCCAGCAGGGGAGGTTGCAAATCGCAATCATGTAACCATGGGATGCTGCGACAGTCAGAAATCTGGGCCAATTGCCAAATACCTGGATTGTGATCACATGACTGTGGGGGCACTGCAAAAGCCAGAACATTGAGGACCGGTTGTAAGTACCACTTGTTCAGCACTGTCATAAGTTCAAAGAGTCACTGAACGAGTGGTTGTTAAACAAGGACCACCTGTATACTTATGACTTATACATGAAGTTAATTCATTAGAAAAAATCTACTGGACTTTCTAAAGAATATTTCAGAAAAGGATGGATATCAGATTCTTTTTGTGTATGCGTTAGCACCATAACAAATCTGACTCATATGATTTGGATTCCATCAAATCTGTGAATACAACCTTGGGGGGAAAAACATAGTAGTTAAAGATATGTGATACTGAATTACATTCCAAAAATAAGGAATTTGGCACTTTATGGAGAATTACTCTAGGTAGATGAAAATAAAACATTCCAGGTGTCAAAGAGTGGGTTCAAGAGATCTGATCTTCAATATTTTTGAAATGTCTTATTATAAAAATAAGATGTCAAAATACATTTTGACATGGTCTAGCTGTCAAAGGCCTGAGCTACTTTTGTATTATTATATGGATTTTTCTCCTCCTTCCTTCTTAGCTTATTTTAACCACATATATGTATATCTTTTTATTGTATTATTACCATTGATTATTTTTATTTGTTAATCTTGCTAACTGCTATAAAACAATAAAAAGGGGGGAAGGGAAAAATATGTACCCAAATTCATACTTACCTTCATTGTTTTTTAAAACTGCTCTTTCACCTTCTAGTTTAGTTCTGCCATAGAGATTTAGAGGATTTGGTACATCATTTTCCTTGTATGGAGGATTTGTTCCATCAAATACATAGTCTGTACTAATGTAGATCAGAAATGCTCCCACTTGAGCTAAATTGGAAAAACATTTATCGTAATTAAATGTGTATCTATGGGAATATTCCATCTAGCTTTCAGTTCTCCAGTATATTATACCACTTATAAACTTGCTGAATCACACCAAAGACCAGATTTAAAATAGTAAACAGCAGTTCCCACAATCCTCCTTTACCAAACCACATTAATCAAACATTAACTGGGAAAAATTCTTCAACACTGATCGAACTACCTATACTTACAATATCATCGAAAATAATAATATAACCTAACTTTAAAAAAAAAATCAGTCATTTTTACCTGCTTCTTTTGCTATGACTCCTGAAGCAGTCACATTGAGCTGAGCAGCAGCATCTGGTTGACTGTCTACAATATCTGGCCTTCTCTCAGCTGCACAATGTATTATCACATGAGGCTGGAAATGATACACCCATATGAGGAAGTTCATTCAAACAGGACCACTGAAGTTCCATTTAAATACACAAATACATTCTACCTAAAACTCCTATTATATTGCTGCAAGACTAATTTACCTGAGATCTACCAGAATGAATATAATATGTATCCAAAACAGGGCCCGAGCTTGGCTGTTTACCACTGATGATTCCTGTTTATTTGCTTATGCCATCCCAAAGAATTTCAAACATACAACAAGAAGTAACAGAAAAGATTCTACTAAGTATGGTCTTACTTTTAATAAATTCAATACAAGACTATTTTTCTGTTGTTCCATTTCTTTTTCTAATACAAGCATTTCACATAAATAAGGTCAAGATTGTTTAAAAACAGAATATTCATACTACACAATGAATAGGAAATGCCAGTATCTAGGAAAGCCAGTTAAATTCCTGAACAAACAATTCTGAACAGCATGAGGTATTTTTCCTTTCCTTTCAAAATTCTCACCTGAAAATCTTGGATTACACTGTGAATAGCAACAGGATCCAAAAGATTAACTTGTTCAAACAAAGGTCGAGCTCTACTGTACCCACAGCCAAGAGCATTCCAATTATTTACTTTAAATTCTTTATAAACAGCTCTGCCAAGTAGTCCAGTGGCACCAGTAATTAGGACACGTCTATTTGGGATATCAACATCATCCTGTAAAAAGAAAATATAATCTATAGTCATATCAAATTATCACTGTTTTTCCCAAAACTCTTGCATGCTCCTGTGCATCTCTATCCCATATTTTCAAAATATGTTGGGCTTAAATCACAGAATAGCAGCTTCAATAATAATCTGTGCTACATAGGAAGTTCAAATACTGAAGATAACATACCCATATATTGTGGTTAACAATATCAGAAGACGACTATAACTTAGAACTAGTCATTCCATGTTATTAAAATTGATCTCTACAAAAAGATTCACTGAAGAATGTATGTATTCATTTTGTTTCTGTTTTAAACTGTCAAAACAAAAACCTTCCAAGGTGGATTATTTTCTTTAAAAAGAAAACAAAACAACACAAAATTACTTTTCTTCACCTATCAACCTATCAAGTTTTTCTATCAAGATTCTGCAAAGACAGAAAGAAACACAGTTACCAAAAGTCCCACTGAATGTTTGCCTTCCTTGTAAATTATTCTAGGAAGTGTTTCCATTCCAGACTGATCAATGATTTTCAGCTGCTTTCTGGAATTCTATTAGCATTATAGCTGATAGAATTGTAATTCCAATTGTTTATAAAGAATTGTTATTGGAATTACACAACATTAAGGAGTAATTCTGAGGGGCTTTTTTAAATAGTTCTTTTTCTACTTTTTTTTTTTTCCTTTCATGATACGACTTTTTAGATTGCTAGGTCGGACAGCAAGGTCTGTTTTGCCTTTGTTGATCTGTAAGTTTGTCCAGGGTTATATATAACTTAGGAGCAGGGCATAAATGCTTTTAAAAATTAAGCTGAGAAAGGGTTAATGGAATTTCATATCCAAAAAAAGCACTTAGACCACTTTAAACACGTCTGTCCCTGAAGTAGAAAAAGCCCAAATACGTGACAAATAATAAAATCAGCAATTTTTGTGATCATAAGAACTAGGGATGATTATTACTTCAGGCTATGCAACTTAACCTAGATAGTAGAGGATCTCTTACTGAAACAGAGAGGAGGAGGAGGAGGGGGGATGCAAATTAATACAATATCTACCTATCCCACCTTAGCCAAGAGAAATAGCCTCCAAGTCCATATAGAGCCCCACTAGAGAGAAACCTTAGAAATTAAAAAGACAATTGGAAGTTAATCTGCTTAATCTTTCATTTGTTTACTAGGCACATAGTAGCGGAACTGTGAATACTATTTTTATGCAACATTAATACTACAGTTTGACTACAGTTTAACTACTCGCCTCCCCAGATATGGTATTTTTCACCAAACAACAAGCAGTATTAAGCAATCACGTGTATGGGTGGATTATTTTAATAAATCTCCTCCCATACAGTACTAACTGGGAAAAAAGGAACTCCCTCTAGATCTCATTCCCCAGACTGTTTGCAAGTGTTTGCACACCCAACCTGGCACTCTCCAGCTGAGTGGGACCCCAAGCCCTAAAACCTCCACCGTAACTAATGGCGGCTGGGAATTATGGGCGTCCTGGTCTAACACACCCAGAGAGCGCCAGCCGGAGGAACACTGTCATAAACCCTGGCACGGGAGGAAACCCTCTTGAACATAGGGAGATCTGCGAGCTAACTCAGAACTGCAGCCCGAGGACTCCTTTAGGCGTCTTCTGCCCCCGGCAGAGCAAGGAGGGCGCCGCCAAGCCGAGCCGCCGGGCCGGAAGGGTGAGGCGGCGCAGAGGAGGCGCGGCCAGTTTGTTTACCACGGAAAAGCCAGCGCAGAGGACGAGGGGTCTTGCGAATCCTTCCTCACCTCCTCGAGCCAACAGCTCCCCGGCTCAAAATGGATGCGGAGCCCTTTCTCCCACCCGACCATCCCTCCTGCCTTGGTTCTGAGGCGCCGCCCCCCGCCGTCCAATCGGCTTCTGGCGGGGCCGGCGGCCGCCGGC